TCGGTCGGGTATATCAATTGCTCCCAGAAATATTTCGATCGCATGCCACGAGATAAGACACCCCTAGCTCAGAACAGGTAAGATGACGACATTGACGTATATCCAGTGTACGACTTGTTGTCCAAGCTCCCAACTCTTACCTATGACTTTTCTAAATGAATAGGGCGCAATGAGGCTCCTTGATGTTCTTGCTTCAGTTTAAACAATTGTCCGAAACAGGATTAACCCCCAGACCATAGTCAACCAGATAGCTGCACTAGTGCACTACCACGTATCAGAACCACTACGTTATCAGCATATGCGACTGCCTTTATTCGAAGTTGGTCGAGACTCACTAGGATTTCATTGATCACCAGAAGCCATAACAGGGGTAGGAGAACTCCCTGCGGTGTCCCTCTGCTGTCACTTTTCCATGGATGGTGGTAAAACAATTGTTATTGCCGATGGTAAAAGCGTTATTGTCATCGGATGGTTGGTGGTAGGCTTGATTGTAATTTGGTTATCAGTTGGTAATCGTTGGTTATCGGGTTGATAATATAGATTCTAAGACAAACCGTTAGTGATATTACCTTGATGAGAATCGAGTCAAAGGTGATGGATGTCTGGCTCGACTCCGAGGTGTTCGGTTCTGTGTATTACAAAGTTTCTGCTCTTAATAATCGCAAACTTTGTTCAAATTGTAAAATATTTGATGTTAAAGATCACTTAAACATAATGTTGTACTATTTTATACCTTCTAGTAACCTTAGAGTGAGGATTTCCAAATATCCCACAAAATCAAGACTGATCTTCTTAAAAAATCTCTTAGTTATATCTTCTACCCATGGTTGAATATAAATGGTATACCATTCAAAATGTTCTAATGATAAACTATTTTGTACACAAGAAAATAAATTTTCCAGTTATTGTTAGGTTAGTTCTGACTTAACAAAAAATGTCCATTATTGTTCCGGACTCTAAATAGCAGACAGAGTCTATATAACCATCCCCGGATTCAAGGTGAATGAAAAGGGTTTTTAATACATGAAGGGATTTCCTTAATATTTTAATTGAAAAAAAGTAATTTGTTTTTGCCCCAAAAATATTTGCAGCATTTCCATTGTTATTTTACGATTTCAATTCAAATATATTTCGTTGGAAGTATGTAAAAGTAATGAGGTCCATAAAAATGCGTGTATGCATCTGCATATTTTCTATGACAATACAAAAACAGTGAGTAAATTATTTCATAATATTTATTTTATTTTTAAAACAGAAATATGCTCTCGATTTGCATACATTTTCAAACATGGTATGTTCACGTTCAAATTGATAAGCAACATTTAAATTTAAGGGAGATTTATTTGGTATAGATAGGGTTATTAAAAAGGAAATTCTTAGAAAAATATTACAAATAGGATGACAAATTAAGAAAAACAAAATAAACCAGTAAGGAAAGGTCAAAAGTCGGGCGCGGTCAACTATATGATACCCTAGGTAACAAAAAAAAGTTTATATTGGGAATTCAATTCTGAATCGATTTTCAACACATTTGACGGAGGCTTTTATACCTCTAGTGTCAAATAACATTGCTGTAAAGTGCATGATATAACTTCGATAAGGATTATATTAAAAATATTTATTGGACCAATAGACAGAGTTTCACCAAATGGAAAAAATGAAACAAATCTATTTAATTTCGGATGATATCATATAAAATCGGATGAACATGTGTGTCGAAGGTATATAAAAATTTAAACAGATCACGATATATTTTGGTAGAGATATTTTCATGCTGTAGCTGATGTCCAGTATCAAAAATTTGAAGTACTTTCTTCTGGGCTGAATTCCGTTGGAATTATTAAGATTCAGTTCATATGGGCTGATGTTAGCCATTTTTTGCACAATAAACCTGAAATCGGATAAAGATATAAATGGGAGCTAAAATTTTAGGCGCTTATTTCTGAACGATTTCTGATATTATTGATGTGTAGTGCATATTAGGCATGTGAGGGACTTAAACCCCCAAATGTGAGGGACTTAAACCCCCAAATCGGATGAAACATATATATGGGAGCTTTTGCTATTTTCACCAAAATTTTATGTACTTGCTTCTAGGATGAATTCAGTCGGACTTGCCAAGATTCAGTTCATTTGGACTGATATTAGACATTTGGTGCACAATAAACCTGAAATCGGATAAATATATTTATTTATTTATTTAAAGTTTAAAAAGGGCCCCAACACAGAAAGGTTATATAGGCCCTTGATTTTACAATTTTAATACAAATTATTAAATCAGTTAATCAATTTTAATATAATATATGATGTAAAAAAAAAAGATCTAGTCAATATTTAAATCAAATTATACACATTGATATCTGTAAGAAATTGTTTTATGTTTTCGAATTTATCTTCTTCCAAAAGTATGGATATATCTTTAATCTTGTATTTGTTTTTAATATTCTCATGTGAGGTGCACTCGTTAAAAATGTGGTAGATTGTTAGTGGCTTTGTACAAATGCAAATAGGGGGTGCAGATTTCTCTATGATATATTTATGAGTAAGTAAAGTATGTCCAATTTTCAGTCTATTTAGTTTGCTTAAATCCTTTCTCTTTAATGATGGATGTGTATATTTGTATGGAATATGATTTATTAATTTAAATAATTTGGAATCTCGACTGCTCATTACCCACTCTTCATTCCACTGATCATGAACATATTTTTTTATTTGCCTTCTGTAATCAGGAAATTGATATTTATATTTCAAGTTGATATCGTCTTTGAGTGAATCCTTTGCTAATTTGTCAACTTTATCATTTTCATATATGTTAAAATGGCTCGGGACCCATAGAAATTCAACGTAATTGTATGACATTCTACATAAGATTTCCCTAATTTCCTGTACTAAACTGTTCCTACTGAAATTATCATCTAACCCTTCTAATGAGCTTTTGCTGTCAGAAATAATTAATATATTTGCTCCATGGTAGTTTTCACGAACCTTTTCTAGGGTTACTTTAATTGCCAGTAACTCACAAGTATAAATAGAAGAATAGTTGCAAGTTCGGATTTTTGTCGAAAAGTGGTCTCCAAAATATGCAAAGCCAGATTTTTCATTTATAACTGAGCCATCAGTATAAAATTTTATAAAGTTTTTATAATTAGAATTTATTATTTCTAAATAACGTTGGTGTACTTCTTCAGGGATCATGTTTCTTTTGTTAATATAGGCAAGTCTTAAATTTAAATTTATCATAGTAAAAGTCCAAGGAGCTACAGTTGATGTTGATAATGGGTTTATATTTTTTATGTCGATAGGGAATTTGGTTACTACTTTTAACATTTCGTTGTAAGCTCGTGTGTAAAGTGGTTGATATGTCAATGACTTGGCTTCAAATTTTCTAACTTTTGCTGTGTTATTTAACATAGAATAAAAAGGATGGGTTTTCAGAGAAAATATTTTCAGTGTGTAATTTAGTAGATGTTTTAGTCGTCTATAATTAAGAGGTTGGTTGGAAGAGAGAGCCAGTAGAGAACTAGTAGGACTAGTCCTGAATGCTCCAAGAGAAAGTCTTATACCTGTATTTAATATAGTGTCAAGAGTTTTTAGTCGACTGCTCGAAGCTGAATTGTAGATTATTGAAGCATAGTCAATTGTCGGCAGAACTATTGAATTTAATATTTTTAAGAGTGATTGTTGATCAGATCCAAATTTTGTACATCTTAACATCTTTATAATACTTAGTTTTGAATTCGCTTTAGCCTTGATATGTTGGATATGATGATGAAATGAAAGTTTTTCATCAAAGATAACACCTAAAAATTTATGTTTGTTTACAAATTGTATATTATTATCATCCAATTTTAGAGAAATGTTAATATCGTTCTGTTTTCTGCGTCTTGAGAATTTAATAGCAACAGTTTTCTCGGCATTAAATTTAAAACCAGTTTTGTTATTCCATGATAATAGCTTGTTAATAGAACACTGAATATGTTTTGTTATTGTGGAAATATTATTCCCTGAAGAATAGATAACAAGGTCATCGGCATATAATAGAGATTTTACATTTGGTTTGATATTATTAAATATAGAGTCAATCGCTAAAAGGAAAAGGGTTACACTAAGGATTGATCCCTGAGGTACTCCGTTTTCTAGATAGTAACTTTTTGAGTGCGTATTTCCTACAAGAACAGAAAATTTTCTGTTTGTTAAGAAATTTGAAATAAAAGAAATCATATTTCCTTTTATTTCAGAGCGATTGAGTTTTTCTAATATTAATTTTCTCCATACGCAGTCATACGCTTTACAAAGGTCAAAAAATACTGCTACTAAATCTTTTTTGGTAGAGAAGCTCTCCATTATGTCAGAATGTAATATAGCCAAATTATCAATAGTACCTCGATTCTTTCTGAAAGCAGATTGGTTGATATTTAATATATTTTTTGTTTCGAGATACCATATTAGTCTTCTATTTATCATTCTCTCCAAGAGTTTACATAGGCAGTTTGTGAGAGATATAGGTCTATAATTATTTTGCTTTGCTGAGTCTTTACCTGGTTTAAGCACTGGTATCACAAGAGCTTTTCTCCATTTATCAGGGAAAACTCTTTCTGTCCAGATTAAGTTATAGAAATCTAAAATATATTGTAAAGAGATATCATTTAATTTTTTTAACATTTCGTATCTTATATTATCCGGACCTGGAGACGATCCTTTGCACATTTTCAGAGCAGATTTTAATTCTAACATAGAAAATTTTGAATTATATGGTTCCCCATTATTGTCAAAATTGAGTGATATTTGCTTTGTTTTTGAGTAATCTATAAAACTTGAAGAGTAATTTGAAGAAGAAGAATTGTTGGCAAATTGTTTGGCAAACAAGTCTGCAATATCTTTTGGGTTTGTTACTAATGTGTCATTGAGTTTGAGGAAGTTTATTTGCTGATGGTTGGTGGATCCATTGAGTGATCTAATTTTTCGGAAAACTGTTGACGACGAAGTTCGAAGGTTTATACTTTCACAAAATGTAATCCAAGATTTTTTACGGCTAGCGCGAATTTCTTTGCGAATTGTTGCTTTCATTTTAAGGTAATTTGCAAGATTCTCAGAATTTATATTATTTTTAAATTTTTTTAGAAGTTTTCTTCTTTCCTTAATCAATGTCTTTATTTTGTGGTTCCACCATGGTACTTGCCGTTTATTAACAGTGGAAGATTTTATGGGAATGGCATTTTTTGCAGATTCTATGATTGAATTGACTATGTGTTCTTCTAAATCATTAATTGAATTAAATGCGTTAAAAGAACCCTTAAGTTCGCATTGAAAATTGTCCCATTTTGCTTTATTTATATTCCAAGTTTCTCTACGTTGTAAAGATGGAGAAAAATCTTTATACTTTATAAGTATAGGATAATGATCGCTGTTGTGTAAATCGTCGCATACAGTCCATTCAAAATATCGAGCAATTTGTGGAGATATTAAGCTTAGATCAATGTGACTGAATGATTTATAAGCCAAACTAACATGGGTTGGACAATTTATATTATTCATTAAATTTATATCATTTTCATTTATAAAATCATATATGATTTTCCCTCTTTGATCGGTTTTTTCAGATCCCCACATGGTATTATGAGAATTGAAATCTCCTAATAACATGTAAGGGAGATCGAATTGATTAATTAAATTATTTAGCGAGCTTTTAGATAAAGTTTCCGACCCTGGAAGATATATCGAGCATAATATACATTTAATAGGAAAACTAATTTTAATAGCTATTGCTTGTAAATCAGTATTGAGTTGGAGTTCAGAGGCTTCTACCATATTATTTACATAAATACATACACCGCCATGAGCAGTATTTGTTGTATTTAAGTTTTTATAAAAACATTTAAAATTTTTGATATTTTTGTGATAATTTGATTTAAATTTTGATTCTTGTATGCATATTGCTAGGCAATTAATATTTGAGATTAATAATTTGGTGTCATCTATATGATTGTTAAATCCATTACAATTCCATTGTATAATTTGATATTCACTGGTCATATGAGCTGGTGCTGTTGTATGTTTCATCTTCCATTGTTTCTATTTTGTTCAGTTCTTCACTGTTTGTGTTTTGTTTTTTCTTTTTTTCTGTATTAGTCAGTTCTCTCTTTTTTCTTTTTGATATACCTTTTGGTATCAGAGAAATTTTTGTTCCGTCTGTTTTCTTCACTTCTCGAATAGAAGAGATAGTTGATAAGGCTTCTTTTATAGTTTTTGTTGGTGATGTTTTTTCTGTTTGAGTTATATTTTTCTCTCGAGTATTTTGTTTGCATCGACATTCGCAACTGCATTGTTTGTTAATAGTTGGCAATTTTGAAATGTCTGAATATGTTGTTGGTAGAGGGTTCCTCATCTCATAAATTTTTCTTGCTTCGTGTATACTCTTTTTCTCTTTTATGCGTATAGTTTGAATTGCAAATTCTCGTTTGTAAGTGGTGCATTCTTTGGAGAAGCTGTTATGCTCTTTTCCACAATTTGCACATTTTGGGGTGTTGTTGCATTTTTCTCGTTTACCATCTTCTTTGATCTCCGTATGTACTGTGTTACTGCAGTGTGGGCAAAGTTTGACGTTTGACGTGCATTTCTCAGACACGTGTCCAAATTGAAAACAATTGTAACACCTGAGGGGATTTGGAATGTAGTGACGGACCTTAACTCGAAAGAAGCCAATGAAAACGTTTTCGGGAAGATCTCTAGTATTAAACGTTAGTATATACAAACCAGAATCCACATTTGTCAATGTTCGCGTTTCTGGATCTCGCCTTTTTAATCGTTTTATATCAGTAACTTGGAGATTCAATTTTGTGATTTCCTCTTTCAGTTCAGTGTCACTTAAATCCCTCAGATCATTGGTATAGATAATGCCTTTGGACATATTCAATGTTTTGTGTTCTTCAACATTAACGAAAACAACGGAAGATAGAGACAGCATTTGTATAATTTTGTTTGCTTGTTTTCCATTTGTGCATTGAATTAGCAGCTGACCACTTCGGAGTTTTTTGCAATCTATTATGTTACCACCAACTGCGCTGATAGATTTTTGGATTAAGAACGGTGAAACGTTTGAAAACCCCTTATCTGCGTGTATTCCCGATCTGGACATAACTAAATAAGTCGGTTGTAGTGACTCTGGATTGAGGACAGATTTGCCCCTATCAAAGAGGATACCTCCCATTTTGGGAAGATAATTAATTTAAACTTATAATTTGAAGTCTACGTAAACTTGAATTTTTGTATTGTTAAAGAAAAAGTTAATAAAAGAGAGTTAGTTGGTTTGTGTGTTTTTGTGTGTTGTCTTTTGTTTTCACTTTTTCTTGTTTCTGTTTGCTCCGAGTATGAGGCGCACGCGGCGGGTGTTAAACTCGCACTGTCGGATAAATATATATATATGAGAGCTATAGGGCCGAACCTTTAATACCCTCAACCATTTGGAAGGAAGGTAAAAAAATAAAAAAATTCGAAACTACCACTTGAATGAAAACAATTTTTTGTCATAGGCTGCAGAACCCATTACGAATAATGTTTATAAAATCATTAAAATATCGGATATCGGGAGGTCCCGTTATATGGGGGACATACGAAAACGTGAACCTGCATAGGATTTTTTTTTGTCCTAGGCTGCAGAACAAATTAGGAATACAAAATTTGTTACAATTCAGGTGAATAATGTCGCAAAAATCATGAAAATACCGAGTATCGGGACGTACAGTTATATGGGGTCTATACAAAAACGTGGACCGACATGGCTCGTTTACGAGCTTAACTTGCCTACGGGGAAATTATGCATGTATGCAAAATTTAAGCCTTCTGTCTCAATTCGTTGGAAAGATAGCGTGATTTCAACAGACAGACGGACATCGCTAGTTCGTAAATCGTCAAAATATCGAATACAGGGACATACGGTTTTTTTGGAATTTACGGACTTGACCTGCCTACTGAGAAAATAACCATATAATAAATGTACAAAATTTTAGCCTTCTATCTTATCTTTTAGCCTTCTATCTATCGGAAGATTGTGTAATTACAACATTACAATTTATATGCCTTGTAAGGCTTTGCGTGTGTATTTCGAGGAGTTGGACGGATAAGGTTAATATACCCTCCATAGTATGGCGGAGGGCATAATTTATTTTTTTCCTGATTTCAGTTCTAAACAATTGAGTTCCAATGTCATAACCTTTCCTCTTAACTTTCAACATGATATTTTTTGTCGACGTTAAATAAATGACAATTGTTTTATTTCAGCGTAAAAATATGTCAAATCTCACATGACTGACTGCTGGCTACCACGCATATTTGACAATTGCACAGATGTTGAGAAGATTAATATTAATTTAAACAATAGACTACAAACAAAAAAACTAACAGAATTGCAAAAGCCGTAAAAAACAAATAAACATGCAAGTATGAACTCCGAACTTTAAATGCCATCCTACATTACCGAAGAAACCTCTTTGCAAATATGTTTAATAGAGCTAATATTTCGCATTCGAAATATGTATGCTATTTTTGTAGGAAAAAAACTGAGAAAAAAAAATAAAACTCTACTTTTACAGAAAATTCTGTTGTTCATTAATTTATTAGTACAATTAACATAAGCAAAGCCTCTGCGCCCAGTTGGCATTGTAGAGGCAAAGTTTTAACCATTTTTATACCCTACAACACTATGTGTTGGGGGTATTATAAGTTTGATTCGACCAAAAATTATGTAACACCTCGAAAATGCAGGTGGGGTTATGGTCGGAATAGAAGCCTATTGCTTTATGAGATGATCGCATAATATTTAAGTGTTGAAATGGACCAAAAATGAAAAATGTCTTGATTTTGCAGTTGCTCTACAAGTCGCAATTATAGACAAATCAACGCGAAAGTTAGCATGGGGCTAGAGCTTAGGGCTGGGCAGAAGCTTTCCAATTTGTTAATACTTAGTGGGTGAAATAGACCATAACATTTGTGTTAAATAAAAGTCAAAATTTCCATTAAACCGCTAATATTTTTAATCCCGGCGAAATCACAAATAGACGGAAAGGTCAATTCTGAACGTTACGTAGATGCCGATAGTAAATATAGCGGATATGTAGCGAAATATATACAATGTGTAAATACAGAGGAAGGAGATGTTAGCTAAAATGCCATCCTGGCGTAAAAGTATAAAATCTAAAAAAAAGTTAATATAGATTTTGTAGTATTTTGTAATATTGTTTTTTATTTTTTTTTTCTTATTTTTTATCGATTTTTTCAATTTGACTTATTATACTGAAATGTACATTATGTAACGCAGGTTGGGGTTATTATATACAGATTGCAATTATACACCGATCCTGAAGGAAATTTTTATAAGGGTAGGGTAAGGCTCAGAAAGGCTAAGCCTATTTTTTAAAAGATGTCCGCATGATATTTAGGGGTTGGAATGGACCAATTACTTTGCGATGCAAACTTTCAAAACGCCAATTCACGTGTTTTATTTTTTAGCACTGCTTCATAATCTGCTGGATTTTCCCCGTAATATTGTTTTGTATTGCACAGTGTTATTTTTCGCATAATTATTTGTAGGCTTATAACTTCGGTATTTAATGCATTTTGTCGGTTAGTTATTAACGATCAATAGAAAGTAGCCGATAACAATTACATCCACATTTATTTCGAAAATTTTCAGGGTAATATTGATGCTTCTGTGGCCAGTTGCTATATCCACTATATATTCAATTCCGCAATTTTGAACCTTCATTATTGAGGTTTTATTATTCGGTAAAAATTTAGGCATATTGTGTCTTGATCAGAACACAAATTTGCTCATTTTCACTCCGGAGCGAAACTTGTTCGCGAGCAGGATTTCTCAAAGAGAGGTAGTTTTTACGGAGAGGGAATCTACTCTGCACTATTTTGTGTGGGAGCACTCCCGAGTTACTCTGGTTGAAAAATATTTTGTTTTCTGATTTGAGAGGGGGGAAGATGGGGGAGGTGATCTTGTACAGAAACATACACATACATTGAAATAAAACAACGGAATAACAAAAACAGAATAAGTGATATGCAAGAGTAGAATCTGATCGATTTTGAACGAATATTGCTCTCACTCAAAAACCAGGAAAATATACTCACTCTTATTCGAGCTACATCGAAAAAATTAGTTTCCTTGATTTCTTTCTCTTCCCAGGAGCGCACTCCTCCGAATTCTAGTAAGTTTTAATCTTTCAACAAATTCGAGCAATTTTTTCTTAATTAATGCAAGACTGCTGTATTATCTATTTAATTATCGTGCGCAAGAGGATTCGGTTCATTGATAACGGCAAATTTCATAATTTTTTTTCTGGTTGGCCCCGTTGTGGTTTCGAAATCCATTTCTGTGTAAGACTCCGACTATCGATATATAACGGGCCGGTAATGCATCAACTTGAATGAAATAACATTGCAGAAACCTAGGCGCCTAAGCATGTACCTCAAGTAATGCTACAATTTAGTTCTTTAACGAACATGGCTGTCTTCCTGACGGCTAGAATTTTTAAGCGTTTGGTTCAAAGTTGGTGTTTGGCTTTTTCAATGGTTACCACTTTCCATAACAAAAAACAAATAAGCAAAGGCTATAGTCGTGTGGGGCCGACCACTACAATATGGTGGAAGTCCCCTTATATTCAAATCTATTTTGGAAGATTTCGTTTTTTGAAAAAGAGCCCTTCCCAGACGTTACTCTTAATTTTTTGACCGGGGCCATTTACCTAATATTTACGCACGCCGTCTTGTTATGACCCCATACAACGCCACCCCAAAATATTTAGCATTTCGAAGTTTATAGTAATTTATTTTGAAAATACTAAATACTTCGAAAACAAATTTAGGTTCCTTGTACGTAGAAACACCCATAGAAGGTCTACGTTTTGTTTCAACCCTTATTTAAACTGATTTTTAAATATTTTTGAACCAAGTGGACGACTTCAATGAACGTGGAACTATTTCAATGTTTCTATGTACTGACTTACAATATCAAATATATAAGTTTAGACGATTCCGATGGATAATGAGGTCAAAACCTTAAAGAAACCTTAAACTTAGGCTTTACCAAAATGTGGACCGACTTTGATTTGATGTACCGAGTTGATGTTTTGTAGAGAAACTCAAATACAAAGTAAAAGGTTATTCAATTGGTAAATTTACCAATATATGGCTATATAATGGAGGACATATATGTAACATTTTCAATTTCATAAAACTATGTCTATCCTTGGCAAAGTTACCACAGATAGACAGGCAGACGGTCCTGCGGAAATCGGTTCCAATTTTTTTTTTTTTTTTTTTTTGAATACAAAAATATATCTACTTTTAAGGGTCTTAAATGATTATTCCTGTTAGTTGCAGACGGAATTACAATTTTTAAAACTAAATTTTTAAATTTAAATTTAGCATTGATCGAAATTTATATTTTAAATATTGCTAAACCTGCTTTTGCGAAACTTGACCAAAACGCCTTGATCGGAGTTGTGATAATCGTTTTGGGTATCAACTCCCGACAACCACTTTAAATTTCTCTAACATTGCTATTAGGCTCAAATTTGTAAATAAATAACATTTCTGGTTTTATTTTCTTTATTTCATCTCACTTTAAAGATTTTTACAATTCACCTAAGTACCTTCCACGTCGACGTTTCACAATTCTTTTTCGGAAACGATTGCGTCTACGGTTTTGATTCCCATTGCGATTGACTTTCTGACTATATCCTTTGTTGGGTTTCACGTTTGTGGTGCGAACACGATGTGTCACAACTTTACGGACTGGCACACGATTAATACTGCCACCACGTGGGGCATAAGGGTTGCCAATTCTGCCTCCAGCGCCAGTACCACCAGCACCGCCACCACCGGTGCCGCCTGTGCCACCACCTCCAGTGCCTCCACCTCCGGTACCACCTGTGCCTCCACCACCGGTACCTCCACCACCGGTACCTCCACCACCGGTACCTCCACCACCGGTACCTCCACCACCGGTACCTCCACCACCGGTACCTCCACCACCGGTACCTCCACCACCGGTACCTCCACCACCGGTACCACCAGTGCCTCCTCCACCGGTTCCACCAGTACCTCCACCACCGGTTCCACCAGTGCCTCCTCCACCGGTTCCACCAGTACCTCCACCACCAGTTCCACCTCCTGTACCACCACCCGTTCCACCTCCTGTACCACCACCTGTACCACCTCCTCCAGTACCGCCTCCACCTGTACCACCAGTGCCTCCGCCACCAGTGCCTCCCGTACCCGTTCCACCTCCAGCAGCTGGAGCACCGGGCGGTCCTCTTGGTCCGGCAGGACCAGGCGGTCCATCAGGTCCTCTCTCCCCCACATAGCCGCGAGGTCCACGAACACCAGGTGCTCCTGGTGGGCCAATTAAACCAGGTGCACCAGTTCGTCCACGTCTTCCCGAAGGACCTTTAGGACCGGGAACACCTGGCACACCGTCTTCACCACGATCACCTTGTTCACCTTTCGGTCCTTCGGGTCCTGGAGGACCAGGAGGTCCAGGTGGGCCTGGTGGTCCAATTTGGGTGATAAACTGGGCAGAGCTTAGGGTAAAACATAATCCTACAGCAAAAGTAATTCGATATAAGTTTTTGCAGAATGTGACTGTAATTGAAAGACATTACCCAAAATAAGAACTATTCTTCGCCTCATAGTTCGCTACCAACTGTGAACTTTAATGCTAACGTTTAGACTTTTTATTAATTCTTTAGGAGAAATATTTCATTGATAAAAGTTTCTTTCAGAAGAATACTTTAATTTATTCATGGCAATAAACTTTTAAATCACCAGTACTTTGAAAAAGATCATATCAACGCTACAGAGTTTTGGCACATACTTCGGTACAGGGCATCCAACGAGGTTTAAATGAGATTGTACATTTGCACCAAATTTTAAACTTAATTTAATTTCAACTGTAGTCTTTCGAAGAAAGTTTTTGATTTAACTGGAAAGATATTGCAGATTGTACGAATCCAGAGGAGGTCAATGGTTTTGCTTCAAGATGACTCAGCAGAAAATATGTTTTTGAGCATTACCATCGTATCTACCATACAGAAATCCCATGGTAAATTGATTTCAGAGGTTAGTAAATATGAGATAATATAAGTTGAAGAAAATAATTTATAGAACAGAGTTTGGCTTGCTTGTTTGGGTTACCATAGTATTTTGTTGTTGCAAAATCGTCAGGCGAAATCCCATTATTGTTGTTTTTATAAAAACAACGTTTGTTTATGAGTGGAGAACGATGGTAATGTTTACCAGGGGGTAAGGCAGGGAATACCTAGGTTTCGGAAAGAGCCACCAATCCTCATCAGTTCCCTTGTTTCTTGTCTGGGATATTCTCCCCAGAAGTTATTTAAAAAATAACTTCTATGACAAAAAAAAAAAAACATTTTTTACCCCCTGGTAAACATTACCATCGTTCTCCACTCAAGCAAGCCAAACTCTGTTCTATTAATAGACACAGGCACGGTCGACGAAGGGGTTTTTGTTGTAACAGACAAAACAAACTTACATGGTTATGTTACTTCGTTCAGGTTGAACGAAAGCATAACAAAGTGGAGAAAGATGTAAATGTTTATAAGTGTGGTTGTAAGATTTAGAAGATTTTCCAAAAGAATTTTAGTTTTATGTAATTCTTTTGTTCCTCTCCTATTGAGCTTACGATCTCGTCACTTGGGTAAAAAATGTTTTTTGTCATAGAAGTTATTTTTTAAATAACTTCTGGGGAGAATATCCCAGACAAGAAACAAGGGAACTGATGAGGATTGGTGGCTCTTTCCGAAACCTAGGTATTCCCTGCCTTACCCCCTGGTAAACATTACCATCGTTCTCCACTCATAAACAAACGTTGTTTTTATAAAAACAACAATAATGGGATTTCGCCTGACGATTTTGCAACAAGAAAATAATTTATAAAATTTTAAGTAAGCTTTATTGCCCACAGATGACGATTAAGCCTTTGGTTTTTCTGTGTCACTTCGAAGATTGATTTTATAACTGTAAATATTGGGAAAATTCGAGTTTCTCGGATTTTCAACTTTACACGTTCATCACTTTTTTATACCCTCCGCCAACTAAAAATTTAAAATTTCGCACACATCTGTATTTAGCTAGTAGACAGGTTAAGTTCGTAAATGGACCATGTAGGTCCGCGTTTTCATATAGCCCCCATATAGCGGTGGATCCAAATATTCGGTATTTTTATGATTTTAGTGATATTTTTTACCGGAATTATTTACAATTTTGTATTTATAATTATAGACTATAAATGTACTACAACCTATGACAAATAACCGCGTAACTTGGTCCACTTATTCTTATAGCCCCTATATAACGATAGCGACATTGTTTTAAATTTTGTAGTAAAATGGAGGAGGGAATTTTAAGTTCGGCTCGGCCGAATTTAGTTGCTTTTTTACTTGTTATACTAGGCTTAGGCAGCAGCCTACAAATTTGTCAGGCCATTGGACAATATTTATGGGTTAAAATAGAACCTAACTTGATATGCAATTCCCCTCAATTCTCAATGACCTCTTCCCAGAAAAGGATAAAATCTCAAAAATCGCGGAAAAATATACCAATAAAAAGTAAATATCCTTTGGTTTTTTTTTAATTTTTGTCTTATATTTATGGCATAGGTTTTGAGGGTATTATATACAGGGTGAGATAAAACAAAAACTGCAACAAAGTCAAACGCCATCATTTTTAATTTTTTTTTTTTTTTTTAATTTTATTGAGAAGCAAAAAATGTCGGAAATAGTATCAAATTTTAGAATAAGGTTAGATTTGTTCGAATTGGTCACCTTGGCACGAATTATGGCCTTCAAAGGCCAATGAAACCGTCACACGCTGCCCGAATGTTGCTCTGCGGTATTTTGGCCCATTTCGGCAAAGCGCTTGCTTGAAGTGATCGACATTTTGGTACTTTTTATTGCCAACCCACAATACTCCAGACACAATAGTTCAATGGATTGGTATCCGGAGATTTTGGTTGCTGGAAAGGAAGCCAGGAACCTCATTTTGTAACCATTCTTGGGTGGCGCGTGCTGAGTGCGATGGTGCTGAGTACTGTCGGAATGTCCAAGGTGTGCGGCCAAAATGTTTGCGTGCCGAAGGCTTTAATACACCCTCCAGAATAGTTTGGCGATAATATTTGGCATTTACTCTGATGCTACGATTAATACGAGCGGAGAGCCATCATCGGCAGTTATGGCGGCCCACACCATCACCATGGCCGGCGCTTGAGTTCTGGTGGCCAACCGAAGGTGCACATTTTCACCTGACCTCTTTGGCAAGTAAACACAATCATTTTGTTTGTTTACAAACTGCTGGACAACAAATGTTTTCTCATCCGAGAAAAACAAATTCGCCAGTTCGCGAAGCAACTCATTAGCTCTTTTGAGTCTATTTTCTTCCTGTTGCGGTGTAAGTTCTTGCACGTTTTGGAGTTTCAATGGCTTTACGCCGAGCTTATTTTTCAATATTTGCCGAATGGAATATTGCGAAATGTTCAGCTCACGAGCTCCTTATTTGCTTTTCGAACCATTTCTGCTGATATGGCTGTTTTCTTCCGTCCACTTCCTTGACATCGGGTTACGCTACCAGAATCACGGTAACGAGCGATGGTACGAGACACAAAAGATTTATTCACATTTAAATGCTGGAGTGTTCTAACGATAGCCACTTGTGGTTTTACAGCCAAATATAAAGAAATCACACTATCACGCTGGAATTCCATCACAAACAACGTTTTTTTTTTTTTTTTTTTTTGTCAAATTCTCACCAAAATGCTTTTGTACGGTTGTAAACAATATAATGAGCTGTCGGGCGAGTGGCTTAGAAATGACATCAGTCTGAAGGTATTTCTAGTCTGTATCTGTTACCAAATATCATTCTTGTAGAGTGCATATTACGCATGCGAGGGACTTAAACACCAAATCGAATGAACCATACATATTGGAGCTATTGCTATATCTGAACCGTTTTACACCAAATTTGTTGTACTTGCTTCTAGACTGAATTCCGTCGGATGTGCTAAAATTCAGTGATATTAACCATTTGGTGCACAATAACCCTGAAATCGGTTAATGATATATATGGGGTCTATACTCAAATCTGAACCGATGCTCACCAATTGCAATTTCGTCCTGGGACCAAAATCTACCCCTAAGCAAAATTCGGAGTCGATTGGTCTATAAATGTGACCTCTAGAGCAACTACAAAATTAAGATTATTTATACCCTCCACCATGGAGGGTATATTAACTTTGTCATTTTACGATCAGCGTAAAATTCTAAGTCGATTCGAACCAATTGAGATAAAAGGCTAAAATTTTGCACACATGTTTACTTTTCCAGTAGGCAGGTTAAGTTCGTAAATGGGCCATCTTCGTCCACGTTTTCATATAGCCTCCACATTTTCGGTATTTTGATTATTTTAGCGACATTATTCATCGGAATTGTGTCAAATTTGGTATTTGAATAAGTTTGAAATGGATACTACAGCCTAAGACAGAAAATTATCTGTACAGGTCCACATCGTCGTATAACCCCCATATAACGGTACCTCCCAATATTCTGTATTTTGATGATTTTAGCGTCATTATTCACCAGAATTGTTACAAATTACGTATTTGGAGTTCGTAAAGGGAACTACAGTCTGTGACAGAAAATTGTCTATGCAGGTCCACGTCTTCGTATAGCCCCCATATATCAGGACCTCCCTATATTCGGTATTTTGAGTTTAGGTATAATAGGTACAGGTTTAGGTTTGGGTACAATACCCACCGAAATTGTTTGAGATGTCGAAAATGAAGTTCGTAATGGATGCTACACCCTTTGACAGAAAATTGTGTACGCTGGTCCAGGTCTTCGCAGAGCTCCGATATAACAGTACCTCCCTAAGTACGATATTTTGATGATTTTAGCTACATTATTCACCGTTTATTTCAAGTTTCGAATTTGAATATGTAATGGCTTATGACAAACAATGCCTATGTAGGTCCACATCGTATAGACCCCAATATAACTTCTATATTCGGTATTTTTAAAATTTTAACAAAATTTTTTAAGGATTTTATTTTTTGGAAATTTCCAAATTCGTTCTAAATGGTGGAGGGTATTCAAAGTTCGGCCCGGGTGAACTTACTGATTTTTAACTTGTTCTATTTTTAGTCGTTTCAACCCCTAAATATTTTGCTATCATCAATAGGCTTCAATTTTAATCTTTACCCCTCCTCCATCAAAACTTCGTGAGGATCGGGTCACATTTTCGACCTGTAGCGTGATTATAATTGAGCATGGACGGACAGACGCAAGGACGGACATATACAGCTAGATCGACTCTTCTCATCGAGATAGGAAGATCCATATACAGTTTCCCATGTCTTTGACCAATATTTCGAAGTATTACAAATTTTTTGACCCAATCAAACAACACATAATGTTGTAGGGTATTATTAAAATTAAACTAAATTATTACGTCATTTGCGAAACAAAATATAATTATTGAGAAAAAATTCATAACCCTAATACATACGACTCCCTTTTAAAACCTCTGCGTGTTGTAAGGACGTGGTGATTGTATTGAGATTGACATCTTGAATCGTCCATATGTAATTTTGATTAACAATATTGTTCGTTCATGTTCGCAATAAAGATTATGCATTCTAAGCTAAGAAATCATGCAATAAAATTTGAACTGCACAACACAAAAATTGTTTGAAAAAAGGATTTGATTACATTGAGCCACGATATGTAAAGTAGCATGCAAGAAACCCAATACTTAAAATCAAAATAGCCATAAATCCGACCAAGGTAAACACGAAAGTACATTTTTAATTTATTTTTATTAAAATTCACGACTCTAAGGCATTAATATAATTTTGCACGTTTCTTTACTTCTTTTTGCGTTCGTCATCATCATCGTCGTCGTCATAATCATTCTCATCGGAATCATCGTGTTCATAGGGTGCCACATTGACATCATATTCTCTTAGGGATAATCCACCGTCCAATGAACGAACAGCCGCTGCTGTACCAGGAGGACCAGCAGGGCCAGCTGGACCTGGAGGTCCGGGTGGACCGGCAGGACCACGTTCACCGGGATAACCACGTCTACCACGACGACCAGGTGGCCCAATGGGACCGGGAATGCCTGTACGGCCCGAAGAACCACGTTGTCCTTTGGGACCTGGTGGACCAGGACGTCCGGGTATACCATCGGGGCCTTTGTCACCTTTCTGACCATGAGGACCCACATTGCCAGGCGGTCCGGGAGGGCCTGGTGGTCCTGGCTGGCAAACACATTGCTGGGCTGGTAAAACTACTGCAGGCTGCTGACGTACACCCAACAGGGCACGTTGTTCACCAGCATCATTGAATTTTTTGGCACAAGCCAAAAGCAAGAGGCCAAGAAAGACTAAAAATAGAAAAAACAATAAAAAGGAATTGCAAATTAAACGCAAGAGATTTTTAAGTACCCAAAAACTGTGTTAAGCGTAAGCTGTTCATTCTGCAAATCAATGATGGATTGAGAACTATGCTACATTGTCTGGAAACTAGTTGTTTAAATACTATTTTTCATTCATCTGCAGCATCGTTCATTCAACGAAGGTAGTAAAAGTTTTATGTTTACTTAATTTCGATAGCGATCTTTCAATAGAAAGATTAGCTCAAGTTCAGAAGCTCAAAGATGATACAATTTTATTTCGCATTTTTATGGCCATGATTAAGCAAATTTCTTTGTGAATCACAGGCGAACTATGCAAAATACCTACATAAATACTTAACATAATCTTGGCATAGAATTTAGTCTAACGCCAATCATGAAGAGCATAACATTGCTATTTTTAGGTATTTTCTTTAATAAAAGTGAAGCGTAACATAATTCCTTATTTTGTTCTTTATTTTCAGTACTCTATGTAACTGTGGCCACCTCGCAATTTGTACGTGTTGGGCCGCCGGGACCACCGGGGCCGCCTGGACCTGCCGGTGCCCCAGGGCCAAAGGGTGAGACTGGGGAACGTGGTACACCTGGCAGAACGGGTTTGCCTGGCCCGCCAGGTCCCCGCGGCAAACGTGGCAGAACAGGACCAGCCGGTCCAATTGGTCCTCCAGGTGTCCCTGGTCAACGTGGTTCTCGCGGCTATGAAGGTGAACGTGGACCCGAAGGACCGGCAGGCCCTATTGGTCCTACAGGACCGCCGGGTCCAGATGCCGCAGCTGGTACAGGTGGTGGTGGTACTGGAGGTGGTGCTGCTGTTCGAAGACGTATTCGTAATCGTGGTCGGGGTCGTAGCTATGATTTGTAAACCGTGAAAGAATACCAATAAAATTTATAAATTATTTATTGAAAATTGATTAACTTAGTTTTAATTGAAAATAATGTGGGTAGGCTATTAGAAGATGAATTTTCCTATACTGTTTTAAAAATCAGAACAAATGTTTTTTTTTTTTTTTTGACGTTAGCTATCTTCGTATCCAGAGATAATAAGTAGCTTACTCCTTACTAACTTTACTTACTAATAACCCTCACCAAGACGAAAAAAATGAATTGGGGTTTAATAATCGAAAGAGTTATATTTTAAATTGCATATGTCAATGGATCGGTTGGAGCACACAGTTAATGTCTTTAAAGGTATAACATGGTTAACAGATCGTGAAGTCCGTTATATGGTTGATATCACAAATACTTGAAGTCATGTCGACAATTGTCTGCTACATTGGTTGGTATCTATTATAAAAGTAAGATATCAAATCTGAAACACTTCCTTTAAGAACTTAAGTAAAAGCTTTAAGGTACTTAATACCTGGTAGTAAAGTTATAAGGGAGCTATAGGAAAACGTGAACGTATATAGATTACAAGAGATAGATCCCATTGCCAACAAACGAATTTTAAAGGAATTCGTTCGTAAATGAGGATTAATTCGTCCAAGCACCCACTACATGGGTGCTTTAGGCTAATTTAGACTTATATATGCAATTTTCTTCCACAGGAAGTAGAACTCATTAAAAATATTAAATATAAAGTTTGAAACAATGCCTTTAAACAATTTTGGAAAATAATACAGGGTTGCCCATATTCGACGGACCCATCTGGCAAACGCCATAACTTTTGACAGAGATGTCACATCGCTTAATGACATACCGCGTTTGAAGCGTCAGTCCAAGCAGATTTTTACCATGAACCAATACACGCCACGCGAGCGCTCTGAAATTTACATTCAACAGAAAAAGTCAATTGTGAAAACTCAACGTGCTTTTAAAACATTAAAAAATGTGAGAAGTGCGCCTTCTAAGAACACCATTAAGCGTTTATACGAAAAATTTTCGACTGGTAAGGCTCTTATTAATCCGAAGAGGCCATATAAAAGTCGACCAAGGCGATCGGCCGAGAATATCGCTGCCGTACGAGCTAGTGTTGAGAGGTCCACAAGAACATCCCAAAAACGCCGTTCTCAGCAGTTGGGCATGGCTCGGTCCACTTTACAACGGATTATTCGCATTGATTTGCATTTGTTCCCGTACAAAATTCAATTGACGCAAAGAATGTTGCCTGCGGACAAGCCTCGTCGATTGGAATGGGCCCATGGGTACGTCGAATATGGGCAACCCTGTATATACCCTCACTAGCCATATGGCTGCGGGTACAAGAAATGTGGATTAATTTGTCAAAACACCGAATGTCCGGAAGTACCATTGTATGGGGTATTTAAATAGGCAATTTTCAGTACAATGCATTCAGTTTCTGTACAACGCATTAAAACTTTAAATATAAAAATTTAATCAATGTCTTTGATAAATGTGGTGACAATCATAAAAGCAGCTACAAGAAATAAGAAATAGGAAAACGTGGAACTATATAGACAATGTTTTGTCACAGGTGGTAAAACCAACAACAAACTCTAAATGTGGCCTAATTTACGTTGAGGATGGAATTTCCGAAACCCAAGTGAGACAATTTTTCTTTTTGGCGTACATACTGAGGTAGAAATGGTTCTCTTCAATCACGATGATTTTTATACCCTCCACCAGTAGTATTAGACCCCACAAAGTATATATATTCTTGATCAGCATAAAATTCTATGTCGAGCAATGCCAATCCGTCTGTCCATCTATCCGAACGAAATGAAGTAGGTTGATAAAATTTAAGTCAAATGTGTATTATGTCTGCAGCATTTTTGGTATTGAAAATGGGTCATGTAGGTCCACGTCTTCGTATAGCCCCCATATAACGGTACCTCCGGTATTCGGTATTTTGATGATTTTAGCGACATTATTTACCGAAATTATTTCACATTTTGTATTTGAAGTACGTAATGGATACTACAGCCTATGCCAGAGAATTGTCTGTGCTGGTCCACGTTTTATAACCCCCATGGTAACTCCCTATAGTCGGTATTTTGATGATTTTAGCTACTTTATAAACATCTTTTTTTCCAAGTTTCGAATTTCAATATTGTAGTAGTTTGTGACAAACGTTGTCTATGCAAGACCACGTCGTCTAATAGACCCTACTATACGGCTACATTCGGTATTCCAAATGGTGGGGGGTGTTCAAAGTTCGGCCCGGCCGAACTTACAACTTTTTTACTTGTTTTCAATTTTTGTCATATATTTTATCGCATGCGACTTTTTCAATTTGACTTACAATTTTGAATTGTAATTTTTTTTGTAATTTTTACACCCAGAAAAACTACGTTTTGAAGGTATTATATGCAGGTCGCAATTATCGTCCGATCCTCTCGAAATTCGGCATGGTTGTTGGGTTAGGGTCATAATTAAAGCCTATTGTTCTTAAGATTTACGTTTAGGGATTCAAATGGACCAAAAAATTAAATTTTTCTAATTTTGTATTCGCTCTATAGACAACAATTGTAAACTAATCGACAAATTGTATTGTTGTAGGGTATCACAACCTTTGCTTATTTTAATATAATCCTATTATCATGCACTCGATAGCAATATTATTTGGTATAAAAGATAAAAATGTCTCCATCATATTGAATGAAATTGATTTAGAATCGGACATGCCTCCCATGCATTAATTCCCTATGAAACCAAACTACAACTGCTCTAAAGCCAAATGTTGATCTACTTCAAAAAAATTCTTTTATTACGGGAGCTCTACTATATATGCATATTGGTGTAGGGTATCACATAGTCGGTCCCGACCGACTTTTGACTTTTCCTTACTGGTTTAAGTACTTGAACTTTTTTATTTTTTATGTGTTTGTTTCCCTTTCGAGACGAGCTTAATGATCTGAAATTTGCAGTGAAAAAGAAAAGCCAGATAGGCACTATCACACACTCACCACTATGCGACGCGTTTCGCCGTTGGTGAAGCGGCTCATCAGTTAAATTTCGTGTGGATGATGGCTTACAAGGGCCGTTCTCTGGAAAGTAGTATTTATTCCGAAATTATTTCGATTTAGCATATGCGAATTAAACACTAGAAACTCTCCAAGTTCGACTCATGTTCTATTAGCAGATCTTTTTCACAGCAAAGTTTGTTGTTGTAGTGATGGTTTTTTTTTAAACCACAAAATATTCGTATAAAAATTGTTGAATGCATATAACATCAAAAGGAGTAGCAAAGCGAATCGGGTTCAGCTAGTAGAAGTCCACATTTTCTCATTCCAAATGTTGAAAATTTTATAGAGAATATATTTTTCACCTCATATTTTTCAGGACAATAATCTAGCCCCAGGTGTCGTTAATATGACTTTTTTCTTATAACATTTTAAACGTGTTTACTCCAAATCATTAATTTTCAATTCTATAATTACATTTCCTGATTTGAGAGTTGAAGTAATTTTGAATAAAATTAAGTTTTTAATATATCCAAATGTAAATTTAAATAACAAATTCTCTATGGAATAAAATACATTTGAACAATTTTTAATTGCAATCTACAAACAAATTGTCAAATTTTTAATGAAAATTCTTAAGAAACCATCAACGCCAAAAAAAAAAAAAAAAAAAAAAAAATTCTAACACACAATTAACAAAACAATTTGAATGAAAACATTCGCAGGCTGTAGATTGCAGGAAAATTAATTTCATTCGGTCCAAGTATTGTTAATTCCTCGAATTTTTAATCATTGACAGCGGTTGCTTGCCAAACAGACGTGGTGTCATACTGTAGTGATGGGCACGCTCAGCCTGGGAGGGGAAGGCAGTTACCAAGGAAGTGGGTAGTGAATGGATGAATTATGGTTTTAGCATTCGAGATGTGAACCAACATGACGAAGGCGTACACTCATTTCAAGTCATAATTTGATTTCAAAATACAATTTCGGCATAAATATTCAGTACATGGCAGATAGGCGTTAATTTATCCCCAGAAGAATTGAAAGGCAGGCATTATTCATTTGTTTGGCACAACGATAAATGGTGTGTCGTTGGAAGTAAAACCCGATTTACATACCTCCAATATCTTGAGTTTCTGCCTGGCTTAACAAAATATCAGCAAGTTTTCAAATCATTTATTCCTTTTCATTAGTTGGCCACACCAGCCACCCTCGTGACCGTACGAGTCCACACCATTGTCACTTTGTTGTATTTACTTATGAAAATTTTCAAAATTCTTAAATTAATCGTTGTTGAAAGACTTCAATTAAGCGCACTTCTATTCCATTAGTCATTTGCTGCCTTCTTTTTGTTGGAGAGTCCTTTGGCCGCCACGACCAGGACTATTCCAATAAATAATATTTCCCTTCCTGGCTTTTGTTTGTTGTAATTTTGTTGTTATTGTTTGTGCTGTTGCTAATGCATAATTTAATTTCAACATTGCCTTCTGTCGGATTTGCTGTGTATTGAAATGGATTTATTCTGGTCAGGATAATACCCCAATAAAATATTTTCTTGTCGCTCTTCGTTGATGCTGTTGTTTACATTCGATTCACATTATCTTTCTGAAGAGGACGTTTTTTTTCTTATGTCGGCTAGCGTGGGTGACTTGTTAATGCCTGAGGCAACATGAAAGCGATGTAAATAATGGCAAAGATTTTTATTGGATTTGAAAATTTTATGTTAATTTGATAATGGCAGCGTTGGTATATTAGCTTGGCTTTGTTTAATAGAATGACAAATTAAAAGGGTATGTGTGTGATCGCAGATTTTTGGTTGTGACATCAAATACTTAGGAAATAAAGATAGTATACAGGGGGAGATAAAAAAAAAAACTGCAAAAAAGTCAAACCCAATAATTTTTACATTTTTTTATACCCTACCCTGTCATTCCGTTTGTAACACCTCGAAATATACAATTTAGACCCCACAAAATATATATATTCTTGATCAGCATAA